TAGAATAGAATAGAATAGAATAGAATAAGGAATAAGAATAGAGTAGAATAGAATAGAAAGGAATGGAATGGACTAGACTAGACTAGAATGGAATGGAATAGGCTTTATTTGGCCAGGTGTGATTAGATACACAAGGAATTTGTCTCCAGTGCAGAAGCTCAATGTACATCCAAAGCAACAGAGTAATAATACTAATAATAAAAGCCATACCCCATCCCCAAATATTGGATTATTGTCCCCCACTTGGTCTGCACACCTTGCCCCCCTTGCATCCTCCTATGATGTTTCCTTTCCGCAGAAACTAAGTTGAAAGGATTCACAAATGGCACCAGCTTTCAAAGACAATAGGAGAACCCTATGCTAAGCTTTGGACATGAGCAGTCACAGGAGGACTCTGTGCTTGGAACGAGAGCTGAGAACCAGTGGCCAAAGAGGAACTCTAAAAAGCTAGAGTGTTCAGCCCATCATCCTCTCGTGAATCAATAGGAAAGGGAACATGCATTCTGGGAGGTTAGCTGTTAGATCAGAAACAGACCGGAGCATTGCCTGTTTGTCTGGCAGAGTCACTACCATCACACAAAGCACACTGAGGAGGCGATGTGACGTTGACATGGAGGGCACAGAGGAGCTCCGGGAGGAAGAAAACATTGACAACTTGCTTAAGGAGCCAAAGATGCACCTCAAAGCAAGAAGGCGTTGCTCTAGCTTTTCCTTTCAGCTTTCCTGCCTTGAAATTTTTCCAGGTGAATTTCTACAGCGCCGCTTTCCGTTAAGACGTTCAGTGATGTAGTTAAAGTTTATGATAGACAAGAGGGGGAAAAAAAATAGCTAACCTCTGTAAATTTCTATTTATTGGAGGCAGAATAAATCTTTTGCACAGGGCCTGCCAGCTGAATATAAAACACCCCTCACTCAATACATGAAGCAGAGTGATCATTTCCTGGGATTTCTGCAGAACTAAAAACCCTACTTCTCTTTCAACACAGAAGCGGTACAACAGCAACGAAGGGACACCCTTCCATCATTGTGTGTATCAGATAAAGTTTGAGAGACCTTGCCTGAACATGTTTTCAAAACTAAGCTCTCTTTTTAAATTATTCTATGGGTTTGGAAGCAATCCCACACCCCAGCAGGAAAGCAGCACCGGTAGCTTTGATAACCTGCATGCAGCTGTATAGAAATATTGCAGAATTATTATTGCAATGAACGTTCCCAAACAATAAGCTTCTCTGAATTCAGCACGGCTTATGTCTTGATCAGCAAAGAGTTTGAACAAAACTTCTGAAAAAGTTTGCAAACCCCAGCTCGGTTGCTCTTTTTTTTTTTTTTTCCTGAAAGGAGTGCCAAATAACATTTATATAACGATCCCCGGGGATTATTTTGGAAAGGGTAACATTAGCTCCGGCACCTTTTTCAGGATACTTTTGATACTTTTCAACTGGCAAGAGCAAGAGAAATGTTAATCTTCAAAGCCGAGCATTTATCCATGGATTGTAGCCAGTTGGTTGTTTTTACTGCTGATGTACACAGAAATAAAAATAAATGTATCTTCCCTTTATGCCCTGTTCTGGATTAGGTTCTGCCTCCACCGCCACCCCTCCATAAATCTGATACAATGTCGGAGCACACCAGAACTGCACAAGGCTGACATTTCATTGCATGCACCTCCAGCAGAAATTATACAGCAGCAAAGGCAGCGGGTTATCTACTACAACACACAACCAGAGGGAAGAGGGGGGAACAGTGACTCACTAGTTTTAAGGCAAGGCTGTTGCTGGGACTAACCCAACCCAACCCAACCCACAACATTGTAACTTACCCCCAAATTACTCAAGTGAGAGTTCCCCCAGATTCTCCGAAGCTCACTGCGTCACACATCCGTTCAGGGTTTGTTTTTTGTTTTTGTTTTTTTGCCGTCTACGAAGGCCAAAGTTCAAAACTAGTGGAAAAGGAACCAAAGAGAAGGAGGTCAACCATCAGGGACTCGAGGGGTTTATTCCTCAGGAACGGGGGGCAACCTTTTAGGAACGTTCTCACTTTGGCCAACGGGGACTTCTAGAGCAATTCTGTAAAGGGAAGAGACGGGAGGAGAAGTAAGTTTTGCTTTCTCTCTTTTTGGGGGGCATTTCAAGGCTTTGCTTTCAGAGGAAGAGGAAGGAAAAGGCCAAGAATGAGCCATGCCCTGTTTCCATCCGTACTTAATGGGAAAGGTTGACAGGCAGCTGCTCCTAACTCTCAGTTCCAAGGCTGACTCCAATCAGATCCAGCAAAGGAAGCTATTTAATCTTTCAGAGTTTAGTTAACACTGGGCGATTGGGCCAGAAGACCGACATATGCAAAAGAGGACTGAGTATCAACTCGCTTGGGGGGGGGGGGAAGGACTTATGGCTGGTTCGCCCCCATTTTCATGCCCCACACTTTGAGGTCGGCAGCCACACACACCCCCTCTCCATCTCTGGGACCTGTGGATAATTAGGCCTCTCTTCCCTAGTGACCTACAGGCTCTGCAGTCTGGATTGGCTCACCCTTTTCCTTGGGGGGGTGGGGGGGTGGGGAGAAGGGGAGGATGTCACTTTTGTTTTGGTTTAGCCCCGTGAAACGTTCCAGCTGCCAAAGAGGGAGGCGAGACCCCGGGACCCCAAAGGAGAAAGAGACAGAAAGATAAACCGAGGAGCTGCCTTCTGTGTAAATGAGGGGATCGGTTTGCAGGAAGGGACACCCAGAGAGCATCAGACCAACCAAAAGAGCTACTTACTTAACTCCTAAGCCGTTTTCTCCTCCCTACCCGGCCAAACACACCTGCTAGTTAATCCGCGCAGATTTTCCAGAAACAAATAAATAGGGAGGGGAAATAACAGGAATCTTAGCCCAAGAACAGGAACCCGGAGGAACCAAGTCAGGGGACGGAGTCTCCTCGGGGAATCTCACAAGCCTCAGACCCAGGGCTAGAAGAGAGAGGAGGGTCTCGCTAAGTCGGGCTCTTTGCTGTCCCGATTCTGCCCGCCAAACCCCCGGAGGGACTGCGCTAAAGCGCGCCGAGAGGAGGACTCTGTCCGCCGGTTCGTTCCCACAGCGCTGCCAGGCCGACGCTCCCCCTGGAGACCCTCCCCCGTTCCCTCGAGGGGGGGGG